AATTAGAGAAGTGCAAATTAAAACTATACTGAGATTGCAATCTCACTCCAGTCAGAAAGCCAATAGTGCAAGTAAAATGTGGCATATATACATAATGAATTTTACTCAGCAATAAAAGAGAATAAAATCATGGCATTTGAAGGTAAATGGATGGTACTGGAGAAGATAATGCTAAATGAAGTTAGCCAATCCCCAAAAAACAAATGCTGAATGTTTTCTGATATAAGGAGGCTGATTCATAGTGGGGTAGGGAGGGGGAGCATGGGAGGAATACATGAGTTCTAGATAGGGCAAAGGGGTGGAAGGGAAAGGGAGGGGCAGGGGGTTAGCAAGGATGGTGGAATGTGGACATCATCATCATCATCCAAAGTACATGTGTGAAGACACAAATTGGTGCCAACATACTTTATATACAACCAGAGATATGAAAAATGTGCTGTATATGTGTAATAAGAATTGTAATGCATTCCACTGTCATTTATTTTTTAAAAATCAATAATAAAAAAAGAATGCAAGTTAACAAAAAATGTTGGTGAGGTTGTGGGAAAAAGTTTCACTCATACATTGCTGATGGGACTGCAAATTGGTACAATCACTCAGGAAAGCAGCATAGAGATTCCTCAGAAAACCTGGATGAAACCGTCATTTGACCCAGTTATTCTGCTCCTTGGTGTAAACCCAAAGGATACTACAGTGACACAGCCACATCAATACTTACAGCAGCTATTCACAAAAGGTAAGCTATGGAACCAACCTAGGTGCCCTTTAACACATGGATAAAGAAAATGTGTCATATATACACAATGGACTCAGCCATGAAGAATAATAAAATTATGGCATTTGCCAGTAAATGGATGAAACTGGAGACTATCATGCTAAGTGAAATAAACCAGTCCCCCAAATCCAAAGCTTAATATTCTCCTTAATCTGTGGATGCTAACACAGATAGGGGTGGAGGAGGGAAGAAAAGAAGTTCATTGAATTAGACAAAAGAGAATAACGGCTGGAAGGGGATGAGAAAGATGATACAGTGAACCTGACATCACTTTTCAATATTCACATATGAATACACGACCAGCTAAACTCCACATTGTTTTCAACCACAAGAATGGGATCCTAATTAGAATAAGTTATATGCCATGTATGTATAATATGTCAAAACACCTCTACTGTCACGCATACCTAAAACAAAAAATAATAATTCACTGTTTTTTATGTTGATATAACTTTTAGAATTTTTTCTCTATACTTTAAACAGTTAAAAATTGCAAATATTTTATTATGTACCTACCTGTTGGGGTGGCTTCAGTGGCAAATAAAAGAACATTTAACTTTAAGAATAAGTTTTCAGTCTGAGAGCTCAAGCATTTGACCAGCCTAGTAGGAGCCTTAGCTCTACATCTACTCAGACACACAAGAGATCCCCAAGTTCTTTTCCTGAAAGTATTTCTCCCTTATTATATTTGTAACATTTTGGAGCAAAGTGTGAGAGTTGCATCTATTGATAAATGATATATCTAGGAACAGCACTAACCACATGTATGTATACCAATGAACAATGTATCACAATTCTGAAAAGGAGGGCGAGGCTACAAACATAGGCAAGTTGCAAGATTTTTCTCCAGGTATTTTGCCTCTGCTCCTAGTGCTCATCCACCAAGCCGGTTATTTCTGTCCTGTGAATGGATAAACACCAAAGAAGGCTTGTGTTTCAAAATACAAATGACAAATAAGGCAAAATGTGCAAGGCTCTGCTCAGAAAATCCTGAGATTGCTACTGAGCAGCATTTGTTTCATCTCAGTGAGGTTTGATACATAAGTCAATATAAGAAAGGGGAAATAAACTCACTTTATTGATTAGGAACAAATACTTACCAGTAACTTATTCTAAAAGCATATTATGGTATGCCACTGTTTCCAAAGGTGTTTTGCACTGAAATAAGAGACTACTTGGAGCAAAGTGTTTCTCTTCTCAAGAATGAGGAAATGATATACAAAATCAGGATCCTCACTGGCCACACTTTTCCTCCTTACTTAACAGTGGGAGCAATAACACACATTAACACACCAACGGAGTGAAGTCACTACCCAAAAGTAAAACATCTACTATTAGAAGTAAGAGTTTTGATATCATAGAGAAATCATCTATTCCTGCGGAAAATATTAAAAGGCCTTTCTCTTGATGAGGCTACTCTCAAAGCCATCATGGGACTGCTGCAGAGAAATAGAGTTGACTTAAGAACATTACTGAATTCAATGGGACAAAAAATGCCACCCTCACCCCCAAAATGTGTACATTATGGTTATGTATATATGGATTTAAAACCCTGTATACTTTTGCAGGATAATTACTGTTTAAAATGTTACACACACACTCTTGAAAACAATAGAGAAAAACAACTCAGGAAATGTTTCCTTGTGTTTGCACACATTCATCTTTTTTGTCTGCAAAATGTTTTACTGACATCCCATAGTGTAAATTCTGGCATTCTGTAATCATGAAAGTTGTCTGTAGGTTTCATTTTGTTCTGCTAAAATCTGCAAGTTCATTTCAGCAAGGTTTTGACCACATATCAGCATGTAGTGAAAAGTCTAAATGCTTAATTAAAGAGTGGTACCTTCAGAAAAAAACCCTCAAGAGTAGGTTTACTCTTTTATTTATTTATGCATAAATGACTTACATTTCAACTGCACAAATGACAGATACATTTGTCAAGAGTGAAAACATTTCTTAAATACAGGTAGAGATGTAATTGTGAAAAACTTTAAAAAATGTATTTAAATAGTTTTATACCTATTTATTCTGTATCTTAACATAAAAAGCCCTAAATTGGCATTTATATCAGTGATCAAAGTCAACTTCTTCATTCAGGAAACAAATGCTGAACCATCTACCAGATGCTACGATTTGCAGTAACTGATTTTGCCATAGATGCCATCATTTAATTTTAGAGTCAGATAACACTGTGTTTTAAACCCAAAGAGCAGTTCCTACCCCACATACAAATGCTTTGGGAGACCACAGATTGCTTATCGACGGATGACCTGGAAGTCTGTATTTCCTGGCATTGTGGGCGATGTCTCAAGTGTGTGGAAGTACACACACATGATGACTGCATGTGGGTGAATCTGCCCAATAGCACATTCCTCCGACCACATTGCCACCATTAAGTGAAACATGGCCATATCCAATAAGTTAAAGGGATTTTATAAATCATACAGAGGAGATAAAGGAAGAATTTGAAACTCTACTGAAGGGTCATTTACCTGATCAAAATGATTTCTTGCAGTCCTCAATTTCGTACCCAATGTATCGACAGAGATTTCAGCTTGCTTTCTCACTTTATCTTCTTTGTTATATTCTGCTTCTTTTTCTTTTAACTGGTCTTTATGTTTTTCACGTAAAAGTTCATCATTTCTTCTCTTTGCCTCTTCCTTCAAGGCACACCTGGAGTTAAATATGATTATCTTTAAATTAATTTTTGCCAGAAACAAAAAAAAAAGTCTTTTTATGTTCTGGCTCTTTGTATGCTAATTTAGAATCTTAATAAAACTTCTATGTTCTCTGAAGCTTTTCTTTTCTCGCTTCACATTTTTACTTTCTCCTTTATTCTTGTCTAAAACATACCTAACTTAAAGGCATAATAAAAGACTATTTTATTATTTGGTAAGTTTCTGTTACTAGTAAACCTTTTAGATACTACAGAAAAGGAATTTTGAAAT